ACTATTTGAAAACGCTGGTTTAGCATTTTGTACAAGGAGTATTCTTGATCTGAAATAAAGAAGCAACTGGTTTTCAAACAGTTTTCAATGTCTTACTCAACTTACATGTACAGTCTGCCATGCTGACACAAATGGCGCCAATGGATAGTTCTAGAATCGACCTCGGCCCCATTTGATAATAATAATAATAATAATGTATTTCATATAAATTTACAAATTTACATGAAAATGCATGCCATTTTTACAGGCACGATCAAGTATGATATAATATCAAATCGTAGATTGTCTACAAGTTAATCGTATTTCAACTGTTAAATATTCGATACATATAATACACTCATTTTCTGAATTAGGCCGTATAGTTATTGAATTGTACAGTTGTCCTCCAGGTTGAGCGGGAAAATCGACTTCGTTCCGTTTTCATCCCGTGGTTGTAGGCATACGATAACCAACCGATATTGAGGTAAGTACACCTTTTACAAGGGACTGGAATCTGTTTTAGAAAAATTAAAGTGCTGAGGTGAATCATTAAATTGTAATGAAATAGGTAAGTGCAAGTATCATTAATAAATGCATTAATAAAGGAAACACCCTAGGGTAACAACATTCATTTGCAATGTATAATGCTACAGATATATCACAAACTATCATGATATCCACTTTTGATGCAGTAAAACAATCCAACATGACCTTATCTAGTTTTCGTATCCACGATCAAATTTCTTTCCTATCATAAAACTACGATTAGACTGCTGAAAAAATGGAATAAATACATCACTGACTCAAAATAACACATCAATAAACTTTAACTCAAGGATGCTGTTCACAACAAAGTTATATAGGAGAATTGACTTCAAGCTTTATTTTTCCCAGATATTTGTATTACATTCATCTGATGTCTGGGTTTTTGTTAATGCGAAGACAATATTTCTATATCTCTTTATGTGTTACACAGACAGACTATTTTGCAGACTGTTCCGACTGACTCTAGTGTCAGAAAGAACAAACAAACTGTAAATTCAACATACATCGAAACATGTGTAATTTATATAATAACTTATCCATACCTGTACAATTGGTATGTTCCTGCATAAACAGGAATATATATATATATGTATACAGTATGGAGCCATCGAATGCAGCTGTTGATGAAAGTCCGTAACTTGTTGGAAGTGCTTACCGTGACATAATAATAATAAAATATTCTCATTTTTGTACATGAGGGAAGCCAGTTTACAGGCATCATCAATATGATAAATTTCATGCTGGCCAAGTTTCTGACCCATATGGAAGAACTGACTGACCTGCCATTTGTGCTGAAAATCCGAATCTTGTTGTTTACGCCGAGCTAGTGCAGAAGATTTCCAAACCAATTTCAGAATGGAGAAGGTGTACCTTGCCTTTCCAATTCTGACTGGCTTTCACATCTCCATCCGTTCTGACTGCTTGTGGTTGAAACCGTGATTCCTAGACAAGTGAAGGAAGTAAACCCTCCCAAAACCCTTCAGTTGATGGTGATTGGTGCCGGCTGTTGCCCTTGTTGGTCAGGAGGTATCTTCACCACCTCCGTCCTCCCTATTTTCACCTGCAGTCCTGTCTTCACTGCCTGACAGCCTCTGCAGCCAGTTTGTTGATTTTCGCCTGCAAGTCCTCAAGTTTGTGTGACATGAGACATAAATCATCTGCGCACGGAATCCAGATCTTCTAGAGTCTTCTTATCTGTGGTCTAGATTATTTTTGTCTTCTCACTCCCTGTGCTTAGTCTGACGCATGATCCAGTCCACCCGAACTAGGAATATCATTTGTGATAATAGGCAACCTTGTCTTACTCTTGTCCCCACTACGAACGTCTCGCTGTGTTTTCCATTCTGGATCACCTAACACGTGACACCGTCATACAGCTGTTGAATCAGATGGATAAAGACTTGAAGTACGCCGTAGTGTTGAGGTAGTTTCAAAAATAATTCGCACCCAACGCTGCCTGCGGAAGGCCTTTCCGAAGTCGATGAAGTTGAGGTAGAAGTTTGACTGCCGTTCTATGCTTTGTCTGGTGATGATGACGACGCATAGAGTTGCAGTTCGATCAGCACGTGATTTGTTTTTTCTGAATCCAGCTTGATGAGGCTGGCGCAGTTCTGTATCCAGTGCATCCTTCATTCTCTCCAGGACGACGCGAATTGGTGTTTTACTTGACACGGACAAAAGCACTATACCACACCAATCCTTGCAGAGTGACGCATAAGTCGCCCTTCATCAGCAGTGTGACAAGGTAGCCAGCCTTTCCTCCAGTCGGCAGGTACCTTTCCTTCTTTCCAAACCTTTTGCAAAAATAGCGTGAGCATAACTGCCGCAGACTCCGGGTTCGTTTTCAGCGCTTCGGTGTGGAGGAGTTCCGTCTTGTCCTGCCGCCTTCCTGGCTGGCTTTCATTAGCCTAATCGCATTCAGGATTCCTACTTTGGCTGGAGGATTGGTGTCCATCGGCAAGCATCTCAGTGCATGTAGTTTGTGGTGGTGGTATTTCTGGGCGAGTTGCAGGTGATGGTCGATTCCAGAGCCCTTTAATGTGATCAGCCCACTGTCTTATGTGTTTCTCCTCCTTGGCGATTTGGTTCCCTTGAGCATCTTTCATTGGTTTCATCATCTGGGTTGATCTCTTCTCGGGTACCCAATGCTCTGGTTATCTGGTATAATGTTCTGAGATCTCTTATGCTTGCGGCTTGTTCCGCTTCAGTTGACGATCAGTGTGTCACAGAACTGTCTTTTGTCTTTCCTAGCACTCTCCTTCACTTCTTTCTCAATTCAGTGAGATCTAAATTGAACTCGGCTTCTCCTTATGTTGTCCATCTCTGCATTGAGTCATCTACTCTTTCACCATCCTCCTCTCCTCTCTTCTATTAGCTTCCAGGTATCCGCTGAGAGCCATTCCTTATCCGAAAAGCGATATAGGCAGATTTTGATTGGCTGTTGGCTAGCTGGCTTCTTATTGGTCTAAAATATAAGTTAAAATGGCAGTCTCTTTATTTTGACACGGAAATTTACAGTCAGTTTACAGTCAGGCTTAACTTACCATAATATAACGGCGTGTTAATTTTTTTGGTGTGAGTGTAGTGTGATAGTCACACGCTATTTGGATGCATTTGTAGTATTTAAAGTACATTGAGATATATGGGAATGTCTAGCAAGTGAATATAAATTAACAATAATTTTGATGCACTTAATTTAAGCCCAAAATAGGATGTATGCATTTTTGCTTACTAGGCGAATATAATTCAACTACAATTTCTAAACATATAATGTGTCTTTAATTAGAACGTATAGATAAATGTACGTGTTAACTGATCCACTTTTTTAAGTTGTTAGTTTGGTGACCTGTGGGATTTGTGCATATTAGGTCAGCATAAATCAATTAAATGTACTAGGTCACAACAGTGGTTTATGAGCACTGAAATATATACTATTATTCATCTACTTCAAATTATAGTGTTGTGTTCGTTGGTCATTGTTAAAACCATTACATGACGTTACAAGATACTCCTGCAGCCTCTACTACACGAAATGTGTCATCTATATCGTCTGATGTAATGGCTTTATTCCAAAGAATAATGCTTAGTTGTGTATTTTATACGTGAGTGCAACTTAAGCAAGCTTTTGATACATTTATGAAGGTAACAACTAAATTGTTCATTATTTCTTTGAAGGGAATCCAACACATCCTAACGGCTTGATTCAGGTAAAAAAGACCCATCTGGCCCTATGGAATATAAGTTTGTGAGCTTTGAATGCACTTTTGGAGGTATAGTTTAGTAAGCTTGGGACGCTTAAAATACCAACCTTGCAACAATTCTCAGCAAAATCTAACCAACGCGTTAATAATGCCTTTTTACGGTAAATGAATATTTTATCTGCTTGAAGTGAACCCAGTATGTACTGAAATAACCCTGGTCCTTCTAAAAAGCTACTATATTTGGGTCTCGCCTACTCAGGAACATTCTGCCTCCCCCCAGTGCTATAATTATAGGAAATTTTCCCTGTCAGTATACTTACTTTCGAGTACCAAATACAGCCGACTGTTTTTGGATGCTGTTCGGACAGATTGGAGTAATTTCTTACTGCAATATGAGAACTGTTTCGGAGATGAACATATTGTTTACAATATTCATTTTCTGGAACGTACAGTGGATGACGTCGAGCTGCATGGGCTATTAGAGGGATTCAGTGCATTTCCCTTTGAATTCTATATGCGCATGATCAGACAGTTCGTGCAATGTGGATATGTTGTGGCTAAGCAGGCAGCTCAGCGTTATGTTGAGCACGTGCACTTAATGAAAAGTACAGGTGTCAAGCATGTACCTAAAGAAGCTAGTACTAGAGGCGTTAAGTTTAGCAAAGGAAAGTTAACTTATCTGAACGTCATATTTACTTCTTATTCTCCGGACAATGTAATCTTAGCCTCAGGTAAACCGGGGGGAATATAGTTGAAATGGAAAGTGAAGATAGGATACGCTTTCGACCCTACTGTGATTTTAGTGATGATTTTAATACACCATTTAAATCAAGGAATTTAGAAATATTCAGATGTTTGAAATTTAGTCAGAAGATGTAAGGTTCATTATTGAAGTACTTATTTCTGTAGCGACCAACTGATGACATCGAGAGAGGTTGGTGACATAATGGATTAGGCCACGAAATCGTACATTCATAAATTGAAAGATCGTGTCCAAAGGCGTAACCTGAAGAAAGGAATTCAGGTAATACTGTTAAACGCCCGCTTCGTTTTATAGGTTACCGTTAAGACAACATCTAGTAATCACAACATTGTTTTTATTTCTAGGCAAATGGAAAAGATAGTAGGGGATATAACAGTGGCAGTTATGTAAGCAAACTTTTCTAAATGCAAATGCTGAGAATGTGATGAGCACAATGTTTCATCAACTGATATTTTATTTTGCTTATTTACAGGGTGCTACCAGTGGACCTAACTTGACGGATTTGCAGTGACGGCGAAGTTCAACAATAGAGTCCCAAGATTGTAAATGTTCCAATGACCATGTGAATGTTCCAATGACCCTGAACGCATGCTAGTTATTGGTTGAGGAAGCTCACTATTATTCTAGCGCGAATAATTGTGCATACTGGTAAGCGACACTGAATTAATTGTCTTCTAGGAACTTTCTTTGAAAAGTTGAAACTGTCTTTGATGATTGGTTGTTATTGGTGTCGAAAGTTTAACTTTGCCTGAATATCTTCTTCCTGTCCACTTACTGGGTGCCAGAGCGAATAACGTTTGGGTTTTAGGAATTTATGATACCTAGATTCGCAAAGGGTTTATGGAGCTGATTCTAGATAGGAGTGCTCATACACTCCTCCTCCCTATTATTCAGCGTCTAGTGTTACCAGGCACCACCATTCACACAGATGAATGGGCGGAATATAGCCAAATATCACAATTGGGATATATACATCATAGAGTGAACCATTTGAATGATTCCGTCGACCCTGTCACCGGTACTCATAATAATTCCATCGAAGGTTTCTGGGGAAGATTAAAAAATAGAATAAAAGCTATAAATGGTTTTCAAAACCAAGTTATTTTTAGTCATCTGGATGAATACATGTATAGAAATTGGTTCAACTTAAAAACTGAAACCCCAATACAAAATTGGGAGATATTTTTATCTCATATTAGAGAAAAATATCCTGTTTAACGTCTTTTATGCTTTTTTATGTAAATATACGTAAGATTTTATGCAAAAATCATCCTTTTTTCTGACTGGTCGGCTCAAGGTCACTTGTGCGTTCGTTCCTTGGGACTCTATTGTAGAACTTTGCCAATTAAGTCTTTTTCTTCTGAAGTTAAGCTAGTCCGTACTGAAGATGAGCTCAAAGGGTTTAAATAAAGCTGATAAGCAAAACCAGTAGGTTCTCATCTACTCCTGAAAATGTCTACAAAAAGAACATGGTGTTGAATTAGTGTCAGTCATGCTGAAAACCAAAACTGAGTTCTAGACTGTGACATTAAAGAGTCTATTTAAGAAAAGATCCAGAATTTACTGACTGTAGAACGTTGGAATTAGTGAGATTTAATTCAGCATTATGGTAAGCTTGGGAGGAGCAGAACCTGGACTAGAAGGGCTGCAATAAGGCTGATAAGCTACTTCTGATAATGCGTAGAAGAAGAGCAAGGTGCTGAATTGGTTCCAGTCATGATGATAAACCAGCGCACAGTTCTACCTTAAGCAAATAATCCGTAACTGTTCTGCCACTGTTTGATCCAACAATGGCAGAACAGTTAAGGCGTTTAATTACTGAGAAAAGTTACTATATTAGCATAGTATACGTGAATTGGCTCAATGATTGCAGATTTACCATAATCCTTAACTGCCAACATAAAAACTGGGAACTGCAAGCTAAAAATAAACGTCTTAGTAGCATCCAGTGACAAAAAACTGACCTACATACTCCAAAACAAGCAAAACGTTCAAAAAACCTTTAAAATTCAATGGAAAACGAATTCACGAAAACATATAACCAGCAGACGCAGGAACCCATCATGACCTTGAAACTGACTATAGCGTCTTTCTACTTATCCTGTCTCTTCCCTCTTCCTAGAACAGTTGTACAAGTTTCCTCGAACATCACTTCCAACGTTCTTCCACGCAGGTTTCCTCAGTGATACCAACTAGTGTCTCCAACTGTGCTCTGATCTGATCTGTAGTGAAGGTGTCGCTTGCAGTCTTACCCTTTAGCTTCTTGCATCGTAGCTTGCCTCCAGTTGTTTTGGGGGCTTCTGATTTGACCTTGATGGTTCCTTGCTCTAGATAATGGTCTGAATCCACATCTGCTCCTCTCCTCGACTCGGTGTCCATCAGCTTGCATCTCCACTTTCTTGAGATTGAGATTAAGTCTATCTGGTTTGTGATGTGTCTGTCAGGTGAAATCCGCATCGCCCTGTGTAAAAGCCTATGCTCGCACACGCTACCTCTAATCACTAAATCACTGAAGACACAGAAGCCCACGAATAATTCTCCGTTCTCATCCATTTTCCCCAGAGCCCCTTGACCCATGATGAGTTCTCTTCCTGTATTATCCCCTCCCGGATTAGTATTCATATCACTAATTACGATTTTGATTTCACCATTTTAGATGCTACCCATTACTGATCACAGATGCCCTCCTTCTGAGTTGTTTGCGGACACGTAGCATTGCATAATCTTAACCTCCCTTCCATTTGAATTGAATCTTGTTCTCATAATCCTGGATGAAATTGGTCCCCACTGCATTAGGACTTTAGCCGCCACTGGTGACATCCTGATAGCTACTCACTCCCTCATTGTGGGTGGCTGAGTGGCCTGTATTTCCTTGTTTCTGGGGCCCATATTCTTAAATCTTGAATTCTGGTCAGGATAGACGTAACAGCAATCAGTGACGAAAAATCATGGTATTTGTGGTGTTTCATTGAGTGCTTTCGTAGACAGTTTCTAACGATAATAATAATTTATATTTCGTATAAACATGTAAGTTTACATGAAATGCATGCCATTTTTACAGGCACGATCAATTATGTTACGAATTACAATTGTGAATTAGCATACATTATCACTTTTTTAAAAGTTCAAATTGTCGAATTATATAGTACAAGCAATCGGAACAGATACTTATTATTGTAAATTTGTAAATCTTTCACGGAGGTCTCCATCGAAGTTGAGCGAGACAACCCAAACTTCGTTCCATTTCCTGATGATGATAGTAATGGCCCATCGATAAACAAAATATATATGATTGAGTACTGTGACCCCACGTGCTTGAACGCTATTTCAGGAAGAGGAGAAAATCCTGCACAGCTACAAAGTGGTATAAAATTCAATCATGAATAGTACATTATTGGAAGTATATTTACAAGAAAAATACAAGAATAAGCTATACTCCACTTGATATGATAGTGAACATTTGCAATGTATGATGCTAACCATATTGGTCTTACCGTAGAAATCTATGACGTTTTCTATGAAAATAAAGTTATTCTCAAACATGAGTGCTGTTGTTATGTTTTTTAACCATCAAAGTAACCGAAATGTATGCGAGAGAAGAGTGAATGAGAAAAAAGAAAACCAAAAGAGTAAATTTCAGCTTTACTGAAGGCCTCGGAAGTTGAGATAAAATACAGTATAATAGTAATTAGGTTGAAGTATTATCGTGAAGTATATAAGTGACATTTTAGAGAGAAGTGGCTAGAAGGATTAGAACCTGTTGAATATGGTGACCTGTAGGATGTCTGTCGAACTTGTGCATGGCCCATGGGATAGCATCTTGACAAGAAACTGAGCAGGCTTGTAGATGTTAGGAGCGAAAGCATTATTTTTTTACAAGCTAAAACTGTGCAGCCATTATTGTTTTAGTTTGTTTTTTCTTAAATTTTTTTATAAAGTCAATTTTTTTATACTTTCAGTATCTAAACTCATGTTTAATTCTAGAGCTGCCATGCCTAGTTGCCGGAAGAGAAATCGATAAACGTCTCTTTTACCAAATCTGGCTGCGACGACTTCCTGCAAACATCCAGCAGGTTCTTGCTTTCGGAGACGACGACATTGACATAGAAAGGCTCGCCGAAATCGCAGATCGCATGTACGAGAGGTCAACACCTCAATCTGTCGCTTCCACTAGCAGAATACCAGACACTAACGATAGAATACAGACTCTAGAACACAAAGTCGACACCTTACTGAGTCAGTTAGCAAAACTGACCACACGCACACAACCAAGACGTTCTAGAAGCTCGTCTCGTCGACGTCTTTCTCGATCCCCTAACACGTCACGACATCGCGATAATATTTGCTGGTATCACCGTAGTTATGGAAGCAATGCACGACGGTGCCGTTCACCTTGCAACTTTCAGACTAAACCAAAAGATATATCGTCATGTGTGAAAACTACTGTTGGCAATCTACGATCTAACAGTCGTTTGTTTTATGTAACAGATAAAAATACCGGTACGACATACTTAGTTGACACAGGAGCAGAGGTGAGTGTTCTCCCTCCGTCTACACAGGAACGTCAGCATCCTGACCCAGCAGTTACGCTCCAAGCTGTTAATCAGTCCAGTATTGTTACATATGGAAGTAAACGAATGAATTTGGATTTTGGTCTGCGGAATACCTACACTTGGTAGTTCATCATTGCAGACGTCCCATCCCCAATCCTCGGTAATTGTATGGCTTTGGCGATTCATTCGTTTCTTTAGTATTTCTGTGAGAGCACCTACTCTGGTGGTGCTGGCTAGTGCGGTGCATTCTTCATTTCTCATACGCAAGTTATGAGCTTACGAGATGGAGCTAAGAGTACTAAGTATTGACCCTAGCGTACTAAAGTCGTGTCGCCTGAAGTAACTTGTTGACAGTCTCTTCAGTTTCCTATGATCCTTTGGCTTTATGAATGACTTTCTATGTGGGGAAAACTTTAGTGTTTGAAGTGGGATGACGGCATCTAAGCATGTGTTGGAGTCATAGTAAAAGATGTCTAGAGCTTTGGAGAGGTTATCAGTATAGAAGTACTCACTCCATTCTGAGGATCTTAGCATTGATTTTACTAGAGTCCAGTCTGCCTTACTGTAGTTCCTGTAAGTTATTTGTTGTGAAGTAGGGGAATGGGTTGCATTGCTACTTGACGGAAGTGGCAGTGCGCACAGCACTGTTTTGTGGTCACTCCCTGAAAACTCAGAACCTACTAGGGTAGAAAGCGGACTTATATTGTGGCAGAAGACTAAGTCTAGTACTTTATTACCTCTTGTACGGGTTGTGACAGTCTGCTTCCAGTCAAGTATATCCAGTGTGCCTAAGAACTTATCAAGTTTAGTTGGACTCTGATAGACTCTGATAGTCTATTTTCCTTATACTTTTATTATTGTTCATAATATATATATTTTCCTATCAATGTAGGACACACCAGTTGTACAGGCATGGATAAGTATTAATATATGTGTAAAACTTGGGTACTGTGGTAGTAAGTAATTCCATATTAGTTTGTTTATTAGGTATATCACACAGTGAAACAGTATTATTAAACGTCATCCAGTAAATAATACTGTTTCACTGTGTGATATACCTAATAAACAAACTAATATGGATAAGTATTATTTAAATTACATGAATTTGATTTATAGTGAAATTACATGGTTGCTGTCCTCTCTGACATCAGTTAGTGAGCACATTCTGATAGTTAGTCGTTCAGTGGAGCACATAAAGAAATATAGAAATATTGTCTTCGCAATAACAAAAAAACCCAAGTATGTGTTGGATAAATTACAAATATTTGGGAAAAAAATAAAGCTTGAAGTCAATTCCCCCATATAACTTTGTTGTGTGCGGCATCGTATCTTGTTTTATGCTCAAATTGGGTATTAATTTAAAATGAGTGAATAATTTTTATGATTTTGACATCATTTTTTGCAAGTAATACCAGATGTTCCTCTTCAAAATGCTGTAACAGATGAAACATACATGACGGTCTTCTGAAAGTAGTCACTCATGCCATGACTTCGAATGAGTTGAAAAATGAATATTTTTAAAAAAAAGAAAAGTTTGTGGCATATTATAACAGAAATTAAAAGATATATAACAAAAAATGAAGCATTTTCCCAGGGCCTTGCACAAAAAAGGTGGGAGGGTGGTGATTGCTAGTCAGCGGATATGATGGTGGGGATATATGAGAACCACCCTTATCTGTGGGACAGCACTCTATTGCTAAGGCTCCTGAGTTCGAATGGCTTCTGCAAAATAAGAGAATAAATAAAATTAAAAAAACAGAAGTTGAAAATTTGCCTAAAGCTGAAGTTTA